ATCAAACCTGATATTGGCTATCCCATTGGTGTTCCTTTAACTTGTTCATGTATTTAGCCGTTGAATTGGACGTACGTTGTTGCGCATAGGTTTATGCATTCCATCCAGCTTGTGTGTTGCATTTTTCGATTATTGTGGGAGGTGTTCGTCGTTGCTGAGCAGTAATTGCTCCATAGTCTCTTTTGCTAGTTTCTCTCCAATTGAAGTATATAATGCTGTGACATCGAAGGATACCATTATTTCTCGGTCATCTATTTGAATGCCTCTGATTTTCTGTATAATTCTTTGAATAAATTCACTTCAAAATGAAGTATGCGCTGGAGATGTTTGCTGCCTAGTAGGGGGCAATGAAAGCTTCACAAACAAACTATCCAGCACAGAGAACACAACTACATCAAATTGATCATCCACCTGAGCTACAAATCTCCATCATATCTAATAAAATAACTTTCTGACTTATTTTTTTTCCAGTGCCTTATTCATTTTCTTTTAACAGTAAGCTTCACACAGAATTGTCACAGATATACTCTGTTGGCTTAAAGATTTTGTTGACCTAATTAGTTAGACAAGATAATCTAATTTCCTTAATATCATCTTTTAGACTCAATAAATCAATTCTTGTTTCCCTATTTCCGATGATCTTTCGGTAAGCTTAACGGCTATAACGAAATTCATAATGAAAATGACGCATATATCAAATTCGCAATTTGCAAATTGATTTAGAGCATATACAGCCCACGGTGAATTTTCACTACAGTTTCCTTTGAAGACGGGAATTATTCACATCATAAAATATGCGAACTGTTTGATATCATGAGTGGTATTCAAGAAAACAAACATAATATTTTTGATTGTACATTAGTTAGTAGTTAATGTAATGTGCCTAGTCCAATCTTCGGTGCAGACTGAATTCTATCAGTTCAGGTTGCAATGTGACCACCATGCTAGGTGGCTCGCCATTACGGTGCACTGTGAATTGTTGATATTAGATAGTTGGAGGGCAATTGGTAGGAAGCCTTGGACTATCTAGGTTTCATGCTAGTTGGCACTCATCAGCAAGGTGTATCTGCAACCTTGAAGGAAATCATGTCCCTTCTGAGATTCGAACCTGCGTCACCCAGAGAGTTCTGCAGTCAGAGACGTTACCACTGAGGTATTCAGGCTCACGATTGACCTTCTGTTACACTAGTTACTGACTAGTGTCCAGTCAAAAAGAAACTTATCAAGTTCTTTCACTATCACACGCTTCTTGCTCTGCTTCCAATCACTGAAGTTACGCACTGCGTCATGAAGAAAATTTTCTTTATCGACGAAATCATCTTCACAGGTTGCCATACAGTCGTATTGATATCTACCAAAAATGTAAAGTAGTCTATTATTGAGTTATATAGGGGGTGACATAACTACCTTTATTCTCACTCAATAGATATTTTATCCTTATCAAATTTCTAACTTTGTACCACTGAGTACCATGTAATTTATAACTTTTAATTTTTTACTTCTAAAGCCACTTCCGAGTAATTATATCAATTATGTCACCCCCCCCCCCCCAACATATTACCCAATAATAGACTACTATACATTTTCGGTAAATATAAATACGACTGTACAGCCAGCCTGTGAAGATGATTTCGTCGATAAAGAAAATTTTCTTCGCTGAATTTGTCTTTTATTATTTTCTTCATGACAGGGGCAATAATTAAAACAGGGCATTCACATTAATAATATTGTTCAATAGGAAGTGGGAAGTCGTGACCAGTAGGGTGCATCATGTCGGGTGTGAGGACAAATACTCGCCGAAGACATTGGCTAGCGGTTGCTCTATATCGTGAATCGGCAGAAGTTAGAATTCATGGGTTGGTCATTGAATCGGGTCTCAGTGGCTTAATAGTATACGAGCCAGTTTGCCTTGTAACCAGGAGGTCCTGGGTTCGAACCGTGGTGGTGGGTGCGTACTGTGAAGAGTCCCAAACTAGGACGAAACAGCTGTCCAGTACTCCCAGGTTTTCCAATGGTTCTCCAACTAATGTCAGCTTATGATGAAATCTTGTAACCAATCAACCAAATCCCAACAATCCAATACTTGAATAAAATTAAATCAAATGAAAATATTAGCGACAATATAATAATTAGAACAAAATAAACAATTGCGCTTACTTAGAGTTACTTAGTAAGTGGGTTATTTCCTGTCTTGTACACTTTTCGCATCGCATAAAATGTCTGCCTGCCGAATAAGGCATTGTAGAGTTTTTGTACTTAGATGTCCGAGCATACAGTCTTCTATAGTTGCTTCAAGTTCTACCCAGTGAGTTACAAGAGGGGAGGGTTGTGTATGGAGAGGATGTTCAAAGTCTGACAGGATAATATTTACCAATTTCTTGTAGGAATCTAAGTGTCTATCTACAATAGTACTAATGAGTTGGTTTAGCAACACCTCCATTCACCCTACTGACGGCTTTTGCAGCCCTACACAGTATATAAAAATGTTTCTTATATATCCCGGGAAAGATTAAGATGACGGGGAACGGCAAAGGAGTATGGAAGTTAGTCACGTAACGCGAACGTCTCAGTGATTTGAATATGAATCTCTATGGCGGCAACGAACCACTTTAGCTTTAGATATATGGTTTGCTGATGGCTGCCAGAAAGTGTCAAACTAAGAAGGGACATAATTTCCTTTAAGATTATGGATATTCCTTGGTGTGCTAACTGTCAGGAGACAGGCATAAAATGGACCCAATGATATTTGTAAGATTTGTCACAAACTGGAAGATATGCAAGTGAAAAGCCACAACTTGGTAGAAAAAGCATTCAGAGAAGATAGGACTTCAGGTGAACATAGAGAAAACAGAGGTGATGAAGATTCCTGGCCAAAAGCAACAGCAACAACAACAACAACGGACAGCAATCAGTACAAATGGGAGAAATCTGAAAGAAGCAACCTCCTTCAGCTACCTACCTACCTACCTGGGAAGCATCGTTTCAACTACAGGTGGGCGGAACTGATGAGGATACCAAAGCGATGATCGGGAAAGCAACGCAAGCTTTCATTTCTCTCGAGATCAACAGCACTCAGCGTGTAAAATAAGATCCGGATTTTTCAACTCCAATGTGAAGTCAGTGCTACTATACCGATCAGAGACTTGGCGCGCTCAGCATCACGAAGGTCACTTCGAACAAACTACAAACTTCCATGAACAGCTGTCTTCACTCAGTACTACTCAAGATCAGATGGCCAGCCAGAAACGATCAGCAACAGGGAGGGCGAACCAACCCAGCAAGAATCAATTGTGCAACAAACATGCAGGAATAAATGTAGGTGGATTGGCCATACTCTGAGAAAACAAACAATCAAGTGACATCCATCACACGCCAGGCCATCGCTCGAGTGGAACCTGAATGGGAAGCGGCAAGTGACATGGAGGAGGTGATGTGAAGAGGAGATGAAACCATGTAAGCAGACGTGGAGCCAGGTGGAAACGCTGGTGGAGAGCCGAAAGCAATGAAGACATATGGCTGAAGCCCTTTGTTCCCCTATGAACAAAAAGGAAACAGTAATAACAACTAGCTGCCAACTAACATGAAACCCACATCCAAGGCTTTCTATTGATGGCCTTCGACTATCTAGTACTAACAATTCACAGTGCATCGTGATGGCGAGCCACCTATGATATTTGCCACATTGCAAACTTGACTGCTAGAGTTCCGTCTGCACCAAAGACAGGACTAGACACACACACATTACACAAGTTACTGACTAGTTTTCAATCAAAAATATACAATACAGTCAGTTCTACAGGAGGTCAATCACGAGCCCAAATATCTCAGTGGTAACGTCTTTGACTGCATTACTCAATGGGTGACACGAGCCCGAATCTCAGAGGGAACATTAGTCCCTTAAAGATTGCAGATACGCCCTGCCAACAAGTACCAACAGGCCCAGAACCCAGGTGTCCAGGGCTTTCTACCGATGGCCTCGAACCACCTAATAATAAGCAATGCATAGTGCACTGTGATACTGAACCACCTAGTATAGTGATCACATTGCAGTCCACACCAAACCAAGGACTAGATGCATGACATTAGTTACTACCTATTATCCAATCCATGTTTTTGAGTCGTTCTAATCAATAAATTCAATAAAATCAATAGGTAATTACCGGAATAATTTCAAAATAGTAGATTTATTCACCACTGACGCCATATATTACTAATTGGTTGATATCAGTAGTTTGATTTGATTAATTGCCATTTTCCATAGTTTGGTTTGTGAGGGTTAGTTTAGTTTTTACGAGTTGATCGCGGATTTATATCAGTTAGAGAACCATTGAAAACTAGTTTTGGAGTACTAGACAGCTGTTTCATCCTAATTTGGGAATCATTGGCAGTACGCACCCACTGGGATTCGAACCCAGGACCTCCCGGTTACAAGGCAAGCTCGTATACCATTCAGCCATTGGGACCCGATTCAATGACTCATGAATTCTAACTTCTACCAATTTGTGATTTAGCGCGACCCTAACCATTGTCGTAGGAAGGACATCCATCCACACACGTGACATCTGTATGGACCTCACTGGTCACGACCTCTCACTAGAATTCCAGGAAACTCCATCCTGTGGCAAGCATTTTATTGCACTTTCTGGTATCAAGCTGATCGCATGCTGTGTGAACTCAACAGCTTGGTTCCCGACGGCAGATATTTTATGAAATTTCATCAACTCGAACTGTGTGTTTGTGTGTATGTGAATTGCTAACTGCGTAGTAGTAATTTGTGCAAATATTTTAAAATTTGATTTACGCACTACTGCCTTCATCAAAAAACCAGTCGAAAGTTATCAAGGCATGAAGTTTTTTACAATAAGAAGGTGCTTGTAACGTAAACTTGCTTTATATTTTGGATGAGTGTGACATAGATACGTTTTATGTTAAATTGTGTTTGCTATGTGAAATAATAATTTATGACAATTTGTAAATGCCTTCATCTCATTTTATTTTAGAAAGAACAAGTTTATGTTATGGGTGGACAATTGGTGAATAGTGATCATATACAATATGCTGACATACTGATTGAAGATGGTAAAGTTGTGTAAGTTCTCTGGAATGTTTATTATTATTATTATCCGTATTGCTACCATTATTATTATTACTACTATTGTCACCTAGACTATGCGTTTTGTTAGATTAATATTATTATTCCCTTGAGTTCTGAGTGAAACATAGGGCTTCAGCAACACATCTACACTTTGTTCTATTTTTAGCTGTTCTCTTCAGCTGTCTCCGCACATAATCTCTCATCTCCTCCTTCTCCACTCACGATCTCCTCCATGCCATCCTTCCTCGCACCGACGACTCAGTCGTCGCTTCCTATTCGGCTTCTACTCAAGCAGTGACCTGCATTGTGCATGGTGTTATTCGACGATTTACTCAGCGTGTGCCCAATCCATCTTCATTGCCTTCTGGGTATTTTCAAGTATTGATTTTGTAGGGATTTTGTTTGATTGGTTGGGGGATTTCATCATGAGCTGGTATCAGTTGGAGGACCATCGGGGAACCAGCTTGGAGTGCTGGACAGCTGTTTCGTCGATCTGGTTTGGAAATCTTCATCAGTACCCATCCACAGGGGTTCGAAACCAGGTTGAAGTTAAGTCAGTAACTCATCGAAAAAGATATTGCGAAGTGGTCGCGATATGTCGTGAATTGGCAGAAGTTTGAATTCATGCTCTGGCCATTGAATCGGGTTCCACTGGCTTAATGGTCTAAGACCTCGCTGGCTTTGTTACCAGAAGGTTTTGGTTTGTAACCCCTGTGGTGGGTGCGTACTGATGAAGAGCACAGAACTGAGGCGAAACAGTTGTGCAGTACTCCAAGCTGGTTTTCCGAAGGTTTTCTAGCGGATGTGAGCTCATGATGAAGTCCTCCAACCAATCCTACATATCTGTTGAGCAATCGGTTCTCGAATGTTGGATCGTTGCCAGTCAGAGTTTCTTGTTGCGAATTCTTTCTGGCCGGTAAGCCGACCGGCCATTTGATCTTCAGTATGGAGCCAGCCATCGAAAGTGGCAACTGTTGATAAATGTCTGCGATGGCCTGTGACATGCCGTACAGGTTTCTGACGTGCGTATAGAGGAACTGATTGACCGATTGACTGACTTCACATTTGTGCTGCAGATCCGAATCTTGTTGATTATGCTGGCTGAGTGCAGTGCAGACGATTTCCAAACTGGTTTCAGGTTGATGAAGGTATGTGTATCTCGCCTTTCCGATTCTGTTTGGCTGGCTGGCTGTTTGACATCTTTATCCGTGTTGACTGCCTGTGGTTGAAAGTGTACTTCGTGGTTGGATAAGTGAACGAAGTGACCTCTGTCAAATTTCTCACCTTGGTGGTGATCGGTTCTCGGTGTTGTTGCTGCTGTTCGTTGGTTATCTTCATCACCTCCGTCTTCTCTATGTTCACTTGGATTCCTGTCTTCCCTGCCTGCCTCTTCAGCCAGTTTGTTGGTTTTCGCCTGTAAGTGTTCAGCTTTGTGTGACATTAGACATAAATCATCCAAACGCGAGATCATCTGCAGTCTTCGTATTGGTGGTCCAGCCTATTCCTGTCTTCTCATTCTCATGCACTGTCTGACGCATAATCTCGTCCACCACAATTAAGAATACCATCGGCGATAATAGGTAGCGAACAATACTGCTTTCAACTAGATCTCATCCAGCCTAATTCTTATATACCTAGATAACTTTACAAATAAATAGCAATTGTGGTGATTTGTCAGTGGGATGATAAGATTGTGCATTCGGCCATCGTAACAATGATAATAACAAATCCATAAATAAAGAAGATGAAAATAATTGGAGCGATCTGCGACAACAAGAATAATGAAAGAAAACAGCGTGATTAAACAAACAAATTTTCAGGTAGAAGTAGTCGATAAAGACTAAGAAATACTGTGACGACAGAAGGCAAGAGTCAGGCAACAGATCATTTATTAAGGAAATCAACGCATATTTATATATTTTCATGTACATTACTATGGATATTTAAGTAAACAAACACAGTCTTCCGATTGGTTGTTTCTCACGTAAAGTTAATCTTTCATCTATTTGTGACTGTTTCTTGAATGTCAAATCCTCTATATGTTAACTGCATCCGCCTACGCAAAGTCTGCTGTGGTCGGGTTTGAATCAATCTTTGTTCACATTTTCTCACGACAAATCTTGGGGACGTAAATATTGACGTAAATTACTGTCTACCAATTTGGCTAGTAGACAGCTCTCACCACAATACAAACAGTCCCACTAAGTAAATGCTTGAGTTTAAGGGAAGTAAATATAAACTTTATTTCAATGAAGATGTAATAAGATTAAGGAATAATAAGTATAGGCTAGTGGTGGTGACATTCTCAGTTGGTCAGGTCTTAATAAACCAAGGGAGGCATAATGAAGGCACTAACTTCTTTTGAAAGCGTGGTTTAAGCTTAGTAGTTTGAATGCCTATCGTATAAGCTATGTGGAGTCCATTGGTAAGATTCGGTGGGATGCGATAAATCACCGTGAATGCTTCCCACCCCCCGTCTGACTAAATAACCACTGGCAAAATGCAGCTTCGGATGATTTTCACCTGTCTTTTACCGAATAACGATGGAGGATTTTCAGTAGTGACATGCTGGCTAAGCTGTTTAGTAGTACGTGCAACATAACTGTCACTGCAGAATCAGTTCAAATCATTAATACACATAGTTGGGGCGAAACTACCCAGCTTATAATTCGTTTGAGTCCATGTTATTCGTCAGGTAGAGATATAAAAACATGGGTTCACCGAGTAAAAAGTTCTTCATATAGTCCTGGAAAGTCGCTGGAACAAAATCTCACTAGATAAATCCCCATAGAAAGTAAAAATTTTATTTTACGAATGACTGAATGAACTTTTCTTGCCTGTATAGGATTTCTACAATACACTAATATTTTAGAGGAGATTTAGAGTCTATACAATATTGGTCCAGTGAAATAAAATGCAGTCTTTAGAAGTCTTATTTCTTCTTCGTTGTATACTGAACCTATCGCATCTACAACCTGGAAATGTTATTCCAGGCAACTGATCACATTGAAGTCATTTATTCATATACAGACCTCAGATGAACATAGACAAGGTAGAGGTGATAAAGATTTCCGACCATCAGCAGGAGGTCACCTATTTCACTGACCACCTAGGCAGTATCATTTCAAATATAATAAGCGACACAGATGGGTATTTCAAAGACAACGTGGATCGGATTTGGAATATATGACAGACATTTACTCTATAGAGATCTACAACACTTAACACAAACAACAAGATCTGAATATTTAACGCTTTATGTTAAGTCCCTGGTTCTGTACGGGTTCACGAACCTGATGCGTCGTCAGAAGTACTTCCAACAGGCTACAACACACTTTCGACAATAGCTTTCTTTGCTCAAAAAGATAAGCCATAAGAAAGTCTGTCAGACAGTGAATCAACTAAAGAACCCTATACCCAATAAATATACGGAAGAAAGCGTAAAATGTTGGATACAGGCTGAGTAGGAGATCTTTAAGTCGACAGAAATCTGCATGGTGTATGTCTGAGTGTGAAATGAAGAAGAGAATGTGAAGAGAAGTTGAGAGCTTGTGGGCAATCATCGATCTCTCTGAACATGATGATTGAGAACTGAATGAAATGGAGATATGTTGCTTTTGGACTTACATTCCGAGTGGAACGCATAAAATGAAAGATAATATAATCGTCTTGAACAATGTAATTACAACAACTTTTGCAGTATAAGAAAAATTCATTGGAAATAAAGTGGGACATAATTTTCAACACATTGTGAAGGGATAACCAGTTCATTTTAAAAGAGTAAAATACACTATCAGAAAAAGGACATGACTTAAAAATTATACAGAAAGTTAGGGAAATAAAATTCTCATGAAAATATTGGTATTTGTAAACGGTAGGAAAAGGAATATTAATGAGTTGGAAGATGAATTCAGACAGAAATGGAAATGGTGACGTAATCATGTGCAGGTTTATTCAGACAAAATGACCTAGACAGAATAGTAACAAAGAAATTATTTAAGTATTATTTGACACAACAACAGTAGGTGAATGTAGACATCAAGTGCGGTCATAAAAACAAAACAAAAAGGAAGCGGAATGAATTATAGAACAGGTGACGTGAAAAGAATTCGGGTTGGTTAAACTAAAGTCTAGTATCAGACCAAGAAGGCTTTGACAATTGATATGAAGTAGCCATATGGGGAGGTGTAGACAACTTCGCTGTGTTATTGTTATTATTATTCCCTTAGGGTTTGAGTGGAACATAGGGATTCTACAACACATCTCCACTTCGTTCTATTCTCTGCTGTCCTCTTCAGTTAGGTCCATGATTGGCAAAAATCTCTCATCTCCTCCATGTCACCCTTGCACTGACTACCCAGTCGTACGTTCTCTTCGGAATTCCACTCGGTTGATGACTTGCGCTGCGTGCAATGTCATTCGACGGCCAACTTCCTCAACGTATGCCCGATCCATATCTACTTAATCCTACATATCTGTTGGGCAATCGGTTCTCGCCTGTTCGTTCGTCTCTAGCCAGAGTTTCTGGTTGCGAATTCTTTCTGGCCGGTAGACCGGCCAACCATTTGACCTTTAGTATGGAGTCAGCAAGCGAAGGTGGCAGCTGTTGGAAATGCTTTTTGTGGCACGCAGTGCTAGTTTCTGGCGTGTGTATAGGAGAACTGACTGACCGATTGACTGACTTCACATTTGTGCTGCAGATCCTAATCTTGTTTTTTATGCTGGCTGAGTGCAGTGCAAACGATTTCCAAAATGATTTCAAGTTGATGAAGGCGTATCTGGCCTTTCAAGTTCTGTCTGTCTGGCTTTGACATCTTTATCCAACTTGACCGCCTGTAGTTGAAAGAGTGCTTTCTAGCTAGACTAGTGAAGGAATTAACCTCTTCCAAATCTCTCCCCTTGGTGGTGATTAGTTCTGGTTGTCGTTGTGGTTGCTGCTGTTCATTGATTATCTTCATCACCTCCACCTTCTTTGTGTTCACCTATAGTACTGTCTTCGCTACTCGATGCTTCTTTAGCTACTTTGTTGGTTTTCGCCTGAAAGTCTTCAACGTTGTGTGACATTAGACTTATGTCATCCACCTCGAAATCCAGACCTTGCAGAGTCTTCTTATCGGTGGTCCAGCGTATCCCTGTCTTCTCACTCCCCACACACGGTTTGCCGCATAATCCAGTCCGCCAAAAATGAGAATGTCATCGGTGATAGTAAGCAGCCTTGTCTTACTCCTTTATTCGCTGAAAACTTCTCTAAGTTCCTTGAAATGTTAAGAACTAGTGGCTTGAGTCTATTGGTGACATGGCTGAAAATCGATGTCAAAGGTACGAATGCACTCACTCTTTGTGATATAAAGGAGAAGATTTATAGCTCAGGTGGATCAATTAAGTCTTCACATTTTCCTACGTTACTGTTCTACATATCGCACATTTCTGATCATTGTGATTCTTATGAATGTCTTTTCTGTATCTGTGAGTGTGACAGCTTGAACTGATGCACTTCTGTGCTAAGTTCTATGTTAAGACTTATACAGACAGTCTGTCAGTTGAGAGGGAGGGATTCAATGCTCAGCGGATTAGTAATTAGTAATCTACTCTTGAGTGAGTAAATCACTCCTTGTTCTTCTAAGGGCAACAACTTCTGCGATTCCAATTATTTACGTGTTTACCTGCCTGCCAACTTACATCATTTAAGTGACGAGTTGTTGTATTAATAAGCATGAATGAACCACCGAAGCTTACACCCCTCGCTAAGTGTTCAAAAACACCCTAGAAGACAACAATCTCCTTATCCTTCTAATGTTCTTTCTCCTGTACCATAGAATCTCGTAGACAGTCAAAAAAGCATCTAACAACTGCGCTAACGATCATTAATATTTGTCTGAATTTACTGTGAAACTTAACTTTTGAACTTTCAATAACTATCAAAGCTTCTCTCTCTGGATGCACTCTAATAAATGTAATCTACTTGACAGATAACTAATCCAGAAGCCTAACACATTATTGATTTCGATCAAGCAAGTAGTGAGAAGCATTATCTCAAAGGACTGACAAAAGCATAAAAAAAAGATGAAACTATGGGCACTGGGTTCGAGCCTCGGTGGGAACAACATCACTCACTGGGCAATACAGGTACATCCAGTTAGTTGACGAGTCCCAAATAGGAAGAAATGCGCGTTATCCTGGATTCCACTGCTAGTCACCATCCACAAATTAACTTCGAATTGAAGTATGTTATTTTCATTCATTTTTTACAACCATTGTGATTTCAGTTAGTGGGCTACAGCTGATGAGGACTCGTGAAATAAAATTACATCACTGATATTTACATTGACATCACTATGCGTATTAAAGTCGTAGAAATATAAAATAAAATGTCCTAGGGACCACTTTGACCGAATCCAATACCTTTTTAACGAGAAAACATTTTCAAATGTCAGTCCCGTAGGGATTCGGTTGGCTTCAAGTTTAATCAGGGATTGATATTAATTAGAGAACCATTGAAAACCACTGGGAATCACTGAACAACTGTTTCGTCCTATCCTCCGACTCTTCGGCAATACTCACACGTGACCCTATCTCCAGAGATTGGAGATTACGAAGCGAGCTCATCGAACATTCAGCCCTTGATGAATCCTAACTTCTGTACATTCGCAATATATATAGCACCCAACCAGATGGATCCCAGTGGTCACAACTTGATGTTGTAATAAGTCAGCCTGTGATTAGAATTGAAACCAATCAAACGCCTACAAACTGACGTTTGGAAATTAATCTGATGTTCACTAGTAACTAACTATAGGACGAAGTCACGAGTAATTCTCCTGAGAAGTTGTGCCCAGTGGGATCCATCAGATCTGGCTTGAGGACAAATACTCACTAATGATGTTAACTGGTGGGAGTTAGAATTTATCATAGACCATTGGATTTCTTCTCAATGACTGAATGATCAACCAGCTCACCTTGTGACCTGAAGACCCTGGGTTCGACCCCAGATAATGGAGTCACAAGTGCCTATGAATGGAGAGTCCCAAAATAACCAAAACCAACTGTTCGATAGTTCTCTTACTGATATCAATCCTTAGTCAAACTTGATGGAAAATTAGATTTTATCAATGACGTAGTAATTTTAGGCTCTTTTATTTCTCTCTTAGTTTGTATTCTATAGTGAACTCCTTCTAAAAAATACTTAGCTACCTAAATTATTAACATTGGCTTACCTTTTTTGTACTTTACTCTATTTCTTCTTTTGTGTATCTACTGGTTCCGACAGTATTAGCACTATGAGTATTACAAAATTGTCCTGTCATTAATCGTCTTGTAATTATTAGTTTTTGTTGTTGTTTTTCTTGTTCGGCAATATTAACTGACAATCTTGGTTGTGAAAAGCCATTATCACCATCTTAAAATTTTGTATTATGCAGGATTACTCATACTACCACCACAAACACCGCATTGGAGCTGTCAATAAAAAACCCTGAAATGTTATTTTATGATTGTTTAGAGTTGTTTCAACCAAATTAACTGATCATCTTGGCGATAAACATTCTTAAATATCATTTCATAACTTCTTGTATGACTATAGCTTTACTGTCACCATACATAATCATACCATAGCTTCCACTGCCCAACGCTGAGATATTATTTTATGTTGTTTATTTTCCTTTCTACTTCTTGGTATTTTTTCGCATTATTTATTTTTTTTTTGCTTTTTGTTGTTGTCTTTATATTTATTTTTTGAAATACTCCTTAAGAAGTTTGATAAAATTAGATGCAAATATTGTAATATGTGCTGAAAATTCCACACTGTACCACTAGTACTGTTTCTGGAATAAAGCAAATTATTATTATTATTTTCGTTTTTTTAGTTCAACAGGTAAAAATATTCAAGTTGGATCAGATGCATTAACAATTGACGCCAGTGGTATGTTAATTATGCCAGGTGGAATTGATATGGCAACATATCTGGTACAAGATGTTCATTCATTGGATAAAGAAGCTTATTTAAATGTTACAAAAGAAGCCTTAATCGGAGGAACAACAACAATTGGTAAGTTCTGTTGATTATGTTAGATAAGGCAATCCGTAAATTGACCATTATCTGCACGAATTGAATCAGTTTTACTTTATTTTGAAGTCATCGTCTTCATGAGTAGGTTACAATTAAAGTAATACACAGGGATAGTGAGGATGGCTAAAAATCTATTTGGTTAAAGCAAGAACGGGCAGTGGTTTGTGCAGAATAAAATGGTACCTTGGATTGCTTATTTCATTGGCTTCTCATCAGCTGCTTACTGGCCAAAGACATTATTGAGTATGTCTCCAGGATGTGCGATTCGAGTCTGACAATACCCTTTGACGCTTCATAGATGGTGTAGCTATGGGCAGATATATATATTCATGTCTAACCCTGAAAGAACAAAGTTGAAGCATGCAATCGACAAAACAACTTCTTACTGTCGATATGTCGATGACATATTTGTAGTGTGCAACAATGAAAGTCATGCTTCCTACCAACCTATTCAGATTATTCAGTGATGGACATATCAATATTGAATTTACTATGGAACATGAAAATGATGGAAAGTTCCACTTCCTCGACATTGCCATGCAACGCCTAGAAGATGGTAGTCTTCAGAAGTCAATTTACCGAAAGTCTACATGGAAAGGACAATACTTACGTGGACTAGTCAAGACTCTGTACTATAGAGCTAGGAGAATATGCTCTATAGAGAAATTAGAGGGAGAATTTATGTTTCTTGAAAAGACATTGAATAGTAGTGGGTACACTCAAAGGTTCATCAACAAGTATGGAAGATCTGAAGTCACAAATGTAAAACAAATCACAGTAGGACAAAAGCCAATCTACTTCCAGCTTGATTATAAAGGTGAAAATATTGCAGTAATGGTCAACTGAAGATTGAGTACGTCACTAGCCAGAGTCTATCCTCCAGCTAAGCTGGTCCCTGTCTATCGAACAAATTCCTCTTCGTGCAATCAGAAATCAATAAATATCCTTCTCACGTTAACTGCAACTATATATACAAATTTTCGTGAATCTGCGGGAGCAGTTACACTGGAAGAACAGAGAGAAGGGCATATCTACCGTTTTCTGAACATGTACCAAAAAGCTTGTGTCTAAAGGGAGCAAATGCTCTCAACAGTGCCATCGCCAGGCATCTCCTTGACACAGGTCATGAGGTGGACGTCACAAGATCATTCAAAATTATCAATAGGTAAAAGAGTTTAAGTCTCTTTAAGTTTGCCGAAGCAATCTCCCCTAAGCGCCTGAAATCCGATTTATGTGTTCAGAAAGAAGCAGTTATCAGTTTTTCTTTGCCCTGGTAACTGGGTATCTTCACCCTCTACTTCAACTGATTACGTAATGTCAAACGTTTCCATTGTGTAGGGTCGTTATTGTTCGGGATAGTGTTTAATATTATATTTATATATGTATATATATATATATATAATTACTGTATGCATATATTGATTGATTTTTTTTTAAATGAACTTTTCTATAGTTGGTTTGTGAGGGTTATTTTTGTTTTTATGAGTTTGACCACGGATTGATATCATTTGGAGAACTATTAAAAGAAAACCAGGCAGTACTGGACAGCTGCTTCATCTTAATTTGGGAATCATAGGCAGTACGCACCCACCGCAACCGTTCGAACCCAGGACCTTCCGGTTAACAAGGCAAGCTAGCTCGTATACCATTCAACCACTGGGACTCGATTCCTCAATGACCAGCTCGTGAATTTTAACTTCTACCAATTCGTGATTTAGCGCGACGCCAACCAATGTCGTCGGTAGGACATCCATCCTCACACGTGACATCTGGATGAACCTCACTTGTCACGACTTCTCACTAGAACTGCAGGAAACTCCATCCTACAGCAGGTCACTAGCCAGCTTCAGATTAAATTTCTATAGTTGGTTTGTAAGGTTTAGTTTTGTTTTTACGAGTTGATCTAATTGATATCAATCCGTGATCAACTTGTAAAAATGAACTGTCTGTGCAATTTATTTTAAATTTTTTCTGTAGATATATTTAATAATGTCTTTGGGATGTAAGCAGCTGATGAGAAGCCAACGAAATGAACACTGATGGTGCCATTATATTCTGCACAAACCACTGTTGTTCTTGTATAAAATCTACTTGGTCCTGGTTTGAAACTTATCAGCAGTGGCGATAATACCTACAACCTTATAAGGGACTGAACTAAGCAAGGAATAATAGGTATCAAGTTGAATACGTCATCATTTATTCACAGAGTCGGTAACTAGCAGCTCATGATTTTAGACGTCTGCAAACTTACAGTATCCGGTAAACGGCTATTCACTGTAATTCTTAGCTAACTGTAACATATTAGATAAGTTTATTTCGTATAAAGCACAGTGAAACAGTTCGTTGTATCTTAAATATTCATCCCTCAGCATAAACAAAAAGATTTGGATTTTTAACACAAATGTTCAGTGAGTTAGTTCTTGTATATGTGTGAGAAACTTGGTGCACGTGTCACGAAAAGTATTTTTAATGGGCCCCTGTAGACATTTACCAACAGCTGACTTATCTGGCTCCATACTGAAGATCAGATGGTTTTTTATTTTATTTTTATTTTGATTACAGCTTGATGCCACACTGTATTTTCATTACAAGTATGGAATTTTAGGCATGGATATCGGTAGCCCAAATTTTGCAGGCCAACCATAGATATCGGGTGTGTGTGTGTGTCGGCAGGGGACCATGTGCATGGTCGACGACAGCCCTAACCACTGTGCCACCAACGCACGGAAATAGTTACCAAGAAGAAACTCTAGAATGAAATAATCATATTAATTAGCAGTATGCATCCTGATGCATAAATGGGTAGCTCAAATCTATGGGCTGATATAAGTAGTATCGCCTTAGTCATATCAAGAAATCAGCAGTTTGTAGCTTCACACATAAATCTTTTTTGGCTTTTTACCATATACTACTCCAACCAAATGTGAGTAGTATATTAGTAATATTTTGCAAAATATTTCTGAATGATTTCAATTCTTTATTCAGTGTATCTTCTGTGCATATGTGATAGATTCTTGGGAGAACACTGAGAAAATCTATCACTTGTCCGTTCCATTTGGGCTCACAGTAGACTTCTATCATATCGTATTGTAAGGCAAAAATCAACCCTCTTGATTAGGTAGGGGTATTTTTGATTCTTGATATGATTATGAGCAATAGTTCATGCTCGAAACGTCATCAGTTAATATTACTGTACAACACTGTGTGATTTACCAAAGTAAAATCTTATCTATAATGGAGTATTTTTGATTCGTCAAATATAGTTATTACGCAGACACTTTGATTAATTTTTGATACTAATTGACGATAACCTCTTATGTCTATTTTCAATTAACATGACATATATAAACCCCTAAATAATTGCACGGCGTCGGTGTCACAGCGGTAGAATACTCGCCAACCACGCGAGTGGTTCGGAGTTCGGTCCCCGGTCACAGACGTACTCCTTTACCTCGTTAAGCCAGCAATAAGATTGGTAAACAGGATTTTCATCATGAGCTGACATTAGTTAGAGAACCATTGGAAAACCTGCAGGGAGTACTGGACGACTGTTTCGTCCTAGTTTGGGACTCTTCATCAGTACGCACCCACCGGGATTCGAACCCAGCACCATCTGGTTACAAGGCGAGCTCGTATACCATTAAGCCACTGGGAACCGATCCAATTGTCCATGAATTCTAACTTCTGCCAATTCACGAAGATTGGTTAAGATGGAAGGTTGGGCATGAGGCTAACAAACTCATCATCTTTAAATAAATATCACTGCTACAGAATCTTCAAGCCTGTAGCTTGAAGCCCTATGTTCCACTGGGAACGTAAAGGAGTTTTAAAAAATAATAATAATTGCAAACCTTTCAACTGAATTTGCGACATGCGATCTCTTTTCTAACTTATTTGATTATTATCCCATGAAAAAACAAAACCGGTTATTTAGGCTGCTTGGAAGAATCTTAGCTCGCTTCCGACTAACGTTCACTAGAATTGTCACTCGTGATTTCTGTGTGTTCGTTTAACCCCAATAGATCTGAAATTTGGTTACTCTACCTTCTGGCTCTTTAGCCTGGCCCGCTTGACCTTATGGCCAGAAGGTTCTTAACACTGCTCTCCAACTAGGAGAGAGAGTGGATATAACTCTCACAGTTGCGACGACAGCAACATATTATACCGATACAGAACAACACCACAAAGCCACCTCTAAGCTCATATCCCTTGAAAATTATATTGACCATCATGTTTATCAATCTGCACAGATAAATAAATTGATCGTTAATGGGTGAAACTAATATATGTGTAAAACTTGGGCACTGTGGTAGTAATTAATTCCATATAAGTTTGTTTATTAGATGGATCACACAGTCACGGAAACAGCATTATTCACTGGAGGACGAGGCTTTGAACACAATTTACTTATTGTTCATTATCATATAAATTACAGTCACACGACTTCGAAACTTGAGTTTTATAGTTTTCCTTGTTCTCTCCTATTTGTCGTCGTTGTGGTAGTAGAATTCCCCAGATATCTGGGTGAACAGGTGTTGAATCATTATTACTACACGTGTTTGCAGTTGATTCGGTAAACAAAGCTTGTGTTATCAATCTCTCCCTCCCTCCACCCTGTTACATCAGATTTTAAAACTGTCATATAATGCCATCCTATTGTGTGGCTATGTGTGATTGCATGTAGTGGGTGCTATATTCGAACTTTTCCCTAGATTTGTTATCTTATTCGGGCCAACTAATCTAGGTTTCTATTCTCGGCTAGTCCGACTGCACTTGATCTACTACTTTGACCTATCTGTATGACCTGACAATCATTGTAGCCAGAGTACTAGATAAACTAATGGGATCGGCAGGATTGATCCTTTAATCGACAAAGCTTATTTCTAGTTGAGTTTGTAGGTTTGAATGCCACTTTTATTCCTTCCTGCATTGCCAAGAATTCTGCGTAAGGTTTCCGAGTTTCCTTCCTTGTATGGAATTACTACTGATGATTTAGATTCCCTATTGTTGGTGTCGTCATTATTATTATTGTCATTATTATTGTTATAATTATTATTATCCCTATCGCTACTATCATTATTTACTTTATTTTTACATTTCCCTACATACTTTCTGACTAATTTATCCGGATAGTTATTAAGTTTCAAGGCTTCTCTTATATGTCTCACTTCCTCTCTTAGATTTCCCTTGGTACTACTTAGTTTTTGAGCCCTATTGCTTAAACATTTCACCAATCCTATTTTTACTCACATAGGATGGGATGATCAGAAATTCGTATAACTGTTTGAATGTATGAATCTTCTGTAAACACTAGTGGTTAACTTCCCAACTTCTTTCCTTTTTATGGTACAATCTAACGTTGGAAGCTCCCCTTCCTGACTTTTCAATTCATCATAAGTGAATTGAAATGCCTCCACCTTTGAGTTGATGTGTTCGAGAAATCTACTTTTATCCTGTGTTCTAAGTACAGCGAATGTGTCATCTACATACCTCCACCATACTTTTGGGGTGGGGCTGAACGTTTCAATCGCTATGCTTTCCCACTTATTCATGAATATATCTTCCACAACCAGTGATATCGGTGACCCCATGGCAACTCCTTCAGTTTGTTTGTATATTTTCCCTTGGAATTTAAATACTGTGGAAGTCAGGCATAGCTGTACTCCCAGCATTATGTCCTCAAGTGGCACTTTTGTCCTAAGTTCGAGTTCTTGGTCAGAAATGAGTTCGTTTCTGACAGCCTCCATAGCCATATTTATTGGTATACGTGTATATAAACTGGCAATGTCAAAACTAACCATTTTTTCTTGATTGTCTAATCTTAAATTATCTAATCTATGTTACAGTTCATTAGAATTTGTTAGTCTAGATTTTGAGTAGCTTTCAAGGGGATTTAATACCATGGCTAAATATTTAGATTATTCATAAGTGAGTGAATTTCTAAAATCAACTATAGGCCTAATAGGGTATCCTGACTTATGAACTTTAACAACACTATACATCCTACTGGGGTTATTAGTTTTGAACATTAAATTAAACCATTTAGACTCACCTAGTTAAGTCGTTTGATAGCAATTGCTTCAACAAAGCGTAGCAAGTTAGGTTTCTTTTGCTTGTTTATTATTTTGGACGACTTCAGGTTGTCTACAATATGACCAGTGTCTAATAGATGACGCGCAGTCGCACTGTTTAATGTTTGCGGGCCTTTCACTTTTCAGGTTTTTTGGTATATGTTCAGAAATGCGAACAATAACCCTTCTCTCTGTTCTTCCAATGTATATGCTTTTGCACGTACATGTAAATTGGTAGACACAGTTGGAGGTAACATGAGGTGGGTATTTGTCCACTTTTGATTGTCTCAAACAACTAGTTATTTGATAAACACATACAAGCTTGGCGGCTGGATATATTCTTTTCAGTGCAGCGTTCAGTCTGCATCTTATTCTACTAGCAGTATCATCACATTTGAATGCCAGCTGCAGAAAGATAGGCTTTTTATCTACTGTGCTACTTTTCACGTTTTCAACATGACTTCTCCCATACATGTCGATGAACTTTTGTGGGTAACCGTTGTCACATAGGCATTTCTCCACAATGGATAGCTCTTCCTCAATCTTTTTCTTTTGAACACAGCTTCCTTACACGATCAAATAATGTTTTCACCAATCCCTTTTTGTAACTTATAGGGTAGCAGCTTTTACTTTTACTTCCTACCAATTATTCCTTGTGATCGTGAAAAAGTATATTCAATGTTACTACATATTTGACTTTTTTTATTATTATTACTATTATTATTTTATTCGTCTTCTCCTTTTTTCCCCCATTTTAACTATAGTTGATACAATTTTATGTCCAAAAAGTTCATCAGCTATTGAACTTTTAACAAAGTATAAAAGTACAATGAAAGATACAAAATTATGGTGTGATATTATCATACGAATTGGTTTCTTAGAAATTCATGAAAGTCAATTAAACGAAATAGATGATTTAACTAGAATTCATGGAATTAATTCCTTTTTGGTAAGCAAATATTTTTTACACTTCGATTGATGAAGATAAATTTTTTTAAAGTTTTTAGATATATACTACTGTTTCGCATTATTATCATTAATTCCATGGCCTCTGGGTGGAACATAGGCCTCCAGGAATACACCTTGATTTCACTATGCTTTCAGCAGTCTTCTTCAGCTGGCTACATGACTATCCATAAGATTTCCCCACCTCCTCCTTATACGTTCACCCTCGGTTCAACGTTTAACTCATCGTTTCGTATTCGTGTTTCACTGGAACACGACAGTTTGGCGGGTGAATTCACTTGAATCTCTCCTCACTGTGTATCTTCAGTTCACCTCCAATTCCTTCAGCAGGCTTTCTGAGCAATAGATTATTTTTAAGAGTTGATTTGTGAGGATCAAATTTTTTTATTGAGTTTGACCACGCATGGATTGATATCAAAAAGAGAACCATTGAAAACCCCAGGGAGTACTGGACAGCTGTTTCATCCTAGTTTGGGAAGCATCATCAGTACGCACCCACTGCTAGGGTTCAAACCCAGGATCTTCCGGTTACAAGGCAAGCTAGCTGGCTCGTATACCATTCAGCCACTGGGTGGCACCCGATTCAGTGGCCATCCCATGAATTGTAACTTCTACCAATTTTTGATTCAGCGCGACCGCCAACCAATGTCATCGGTGGGACATCCATCCTCACACGTGACATTTGCATGGACCGTACTGGTCACGACTTCTCACTAGAACTCCAGGAACCTCCGTGCTGTAACAAGTCACTAGTGAGCATCAGATTAATTTTCAAGAGTTGGTTTGTGAGGATTAAATTCGTTTTTCGAACGCTGGCGTGGGTGAGTACTGCCGATGACTCACAAACTAGACTGATGAAACAGCCGTCCAGTACTCCCTGGGGGTTTTCAATGGTTCTCTAACTGATATTAATCCGTGGTCAAACTCGTAAAAACAACAAATTATTGCTTGGTTCGTTATCTGCCACTTATTCGTTCTGGTCAGTCATAGAGCTAACGAAGGCAGCTGTTGATGAAAGTTTCTTTTTCGTCACAAGTGAGGCAAATTTCTGAAGAAATACAGAAGTAATGGCTGATTTGACACACTAGTGTTTAAAACCTGAATTTTGTCCCTTATCCTAAATGAGGCAGATGTCAGCAGTCATTTCAGACTAATGAATGTTTGTTTTACTTTCCTAACCTGATTAGTCTTGACGTGCTGATCCAAGGAAGAGATAACCTCATTCATTCTAATTCCCCTAGTTAATAGTGATTGGTTCTTGTTGTTTTCGATCGTCGGATATTTTCAGCATCTCCATCTTCTCGGTGTGTTCATTTGAAGTCCCGTTTCTCGCCAAAACAACTGATAGGAAATTACAAAAGTCACTTGAACAGGTACTGATATCTATTGCGTAAGATGTAGATCTCGTAATCCCTTTGCCTTGAGGATAGAGATTTAGCGTTTCAAAAATGGATGGTGCTAGATGTGAGTCTTGGTAAGAACATCATCATTCAGCATGAATGCTAGTACTTTCAGCAGTAATGACTCACAAACAGGATAGAACATGCATTCTGGATTTAGTACAAGCAACCTAGTAAAAGCACACACTGTCTTAAGTACGTACCTCAAGTTTTGGATGATTACATTTTCAACTTGGTTAAAGTTCTTTAATGTGAATACTTTTATAGTCATGTTGATCATGTGTCATCAGTACTTCATACTAACTATCACTGGCAGGTAAGTAATCCCCAACGGGAAACTAAGGTAATCCTTAGAAGAAGTGAAGACGGGAGTAAGACAAGCTGGCTGCCTATTAACTCCAATGATTTTCCTGATTGCAGTAGACTGGATAATGTGACAGACAGTAGTGGGCAACGAGGAAACAGGCATAAAATGGACCCACACAAAACAACTTGGAGAATCTGGATTTCACCGATGGTAGATGTCAGATTTCCCACAAACTGGAAGATATGCAGGTGGGAAGCAACAAGTTCGCAGAAGAAGCATCCAGACAAGATAGGACTTCAGGTGAACATAGAGAAAACAGAGGTGATGAAGATTCCTGGGCAACACCACCAACAGACAACAATCAGCATAAATGGGAGAAATATGAAGGTAGCAGCCTCCTTCACCCACCTACCTACCGACCTGGGAAGTATCGTTTCAACTACAGGCAGACGGAACAGATGAGGATATCAAAGCACGAGGATCATCGGGGAAGTGAGACAAGCATTCACTACTCTCAAGTCTGTATGGAGATGAACAGCACTCAGCATGAAAAATAAGATTCGGATTTTCAACTCCAATGTGAAGTCAATGCTACTATACGGATCAGAGACTTGCACTGCGCGTCATAAAGAGCACTTCGAACAAACTACAGACCCTCATCAACAACTGTCTTCGCTTAATACTACTCAAAATCAGATGGCCGGCCAGAAAAGATCAGTAACAAGGATCTCTGGAAGGAAACGAACCAAGAACCAATTGTGCTACAGATAAGCAGGAGGAAATGGAGGTGGACTGGATTGATCATACTTTGAGAAAACAAACCATCAGGTGAGTGACATCACACGCAGGCGATAGCTCGACAAGGAACCTGGCCGAATGGGAAGCGGCCTGGTCGTCAGTGCGAGGGTGAGATGTCATGGAGGAGGTCATGTGAAGAGGAGATGAAAGCATTTGGTCAGACGTGGAGCTAGGTGATAAATACATGTGGCTGAAGCCTTATGTTTCTCCAGGAACTAAAGGGAAACAATAACAATAATAATCAATGGCAGGTAAAACTTCTCCTACACCATAAAGTGGAAATAATATCTACAAGTTTAGACACATATGCTCCCATAGTGCTGTTCCCTTCCATCTTATCCTCACGATTAATAAATATTTTGCAAATAAATTACCTATCCCGGAAAACATAGACGACCATACATCAAAATCGAATGGAGTTTACATTGATATAAACTTTCCCATTAAATTTGAAACAATTAGCTCCCTTTATAAATTCAGACAAAGCAATAAGAAGTCGTAATTTGTCTGAATCATGTGTGTAATGTATTTGTGCAACACATTTCGAACAATCTCATCACACACGGACTTGTCATAGGAATATATGTGAAATTAATAAAGAGTTAACAGGTAAGAAAATAGACAAGTTAGGTCAAGTTTAAAGGACATATTGAAGGTCAAAATAACAATGAAGATCACTAAACCAAATAACAGAGGTAATAATACATCTACCCTGGCTGGTATCAAAACAAAGTTTACCAAGGAAGGTGGTTTAATGTGATGACGAATTGTTGCTTTGATCGCATAAAGGTGGTTTAAACTTTCTAATTGCTAGCTAGGTCTTCCACAGACTTTAGGATGCGCCCCAAACACGTTTTATGGATGGATAGGTTTAAAAGACGTGTAAACATTAATTTTATGTCCTGTCTCTATAAATTTGTATTGACAAAGAGGAGCTAGGTTTCCTGTTCTCACCATTAATGGGTTCTGGGAATTCTATTTGCTTCTGAAGCCATTTAGAAAAATTCTTTTTATTGACTTCATATATACATCCCCATGAAAGGTCCGTGAGTGCTGGATCAGACTATTAGAAATGTGTAGCGCAAATGCGTTACACGATTCAGACAAATTACGTCTACTTAATTTATCTCATTGACATTTTAGTTCATTTAAAGATGGCTACTTATATAATGTAAGTAGCTGCAGATTTAACAAGAAAATGTTTGGACATATGTTATTTTTTGCGTAGGTGAATTTTGTTTTTTCCATTGATTGATTGAAATAAATTGTTCGGTTCCTGTTCACATATCGGAACCTAAATACGAACGCTCCTATGTTGTCTGAGGATTAACATTGATGTTGCTTATTTGACGAATGGAGACTGGTGGGTGAATTCATGAGGCTTATTTTGTCCAATATTAGTTAGGTCACAAGGAAGTACAAGGAATCCCTGGTGAATTATAGTATTCCCGCTGAGATTCGAACCCGGCACACTTCGTTTCAAACGAAAGGTGAATATGTAATCCTCTATTTATGGGAATACCAAAGCCTTACGGGTTCTAGAATAAGAGCACAACCTTAGCATGAAATGAAAATTTTTAAAAATGGTTCACTTAGTAAGACTTCATTCATTGAATTAACCTCGTAAGTGTTTATTTTGGAGAGATTTAACGACACACCACATCATGAACGGTAGACATGAGTTATTGGATTCTAGCTGGGTTAACAGTAGCTCTTGTTTCAATCGCAGGTAGTTTATAGGTTTGTACAGATGGAGAATCTAAGTCCAGGGTAAAATAGCCCTCCAGTATTGCTTGGTTCTTAGTATTTCTTTGTTTAACCTCCCTTCTTGAAGAAAACTACTTTGAGAACAACTATTACGAAATGTTGTTCACAGGTATACTTGTTTGATATGACTTCGTCAGTTATGTTCGACTTCTGAAGTTTTATCGCCAACCCTCAGAACGTTGTTAGTAATAATTAAGGAATAAATTCTAGAATTGTTATAAAGCACAATGCGACAAAGGTATGAGAAATGGACATGATGTCTAGAATAAAACCAATATACAAATCCGCCACTAGGAAGCTATTTAGAACAGGGATCTCATAAACTGGTTTGTTCAGATTCGACTAGTTTTGATGAGGAGGAACTTAATTATATTAAACGGTTGCTGAGTGAAAATGGTTATCCACAAAAATGTTTTGATAAGAATATGAATCTAAAATTAAGGTAGACCAAGGTACCAACAGTCCCTAAGGAGGCCTTATTCTGCCAAATTCAGTTCCTTGGGGACAACATCAGCGAGATAGTAGCGCAGTGCCTTAGGAATGCAGTAAAAAGAGCCTTCTTTGCTGCCGAATTACGCTGTGTTTTCAAAACCACCCCTATTTTACGTTCGGTAGTAAAACGTAAACTGTCTAATTTCGCCTCTTCCATGTGTATCTACCAATTTGACTGCTCCTGTGGAGTGAGCCAGTTATTTGCATAGGCCGTACAAT